AGGTTAAGTTTCTTTAGAGAGACTTTCAGCCATCTGGATGGTTCGTCTCTGGCGATTGGAAAAGTGATATTATTATAAACCACAATAATCTATTTTTTATTATGTTGGTCGAAAAGGAATGACCATAATGTAGATAAACTTGAGAACAAGGTTGCTCCTATTCACTTCGCTTTAAAAAAGTTTTTTTTTGGAATTATATAAGTTACAAGAAGTGGTTGCAAAGTATGTGTTTGATACATAAACTTGTCAATTTCGCTGTCACAATCACCGATTTCACTATTTGTCAGCGTCCACTTGTAACTTACAACCCTGACAAAACGAGTGCTTAACGCCGTATTCGGGTTATCATACAAACCATGTGGGGAATAGTTTTACCATTCGAGTTATCATTTGTGTATGGTATTAGTTTATTAGAGAAGTTACATTATAACATCTAAGGATTTCATAATTCAGAAAAAAAAAAATAGTTTTTATAGCGAAGTGAGTAGAAGCAACCAGGGTGCATTCCTTTCATTTTGGCTAAAAAAATGTTTTATGAACTTATGGAATAATTAGATATTATGATAACATTTTGTTTGTGTAAGCAACAATAATGGTCTCGATCGCGCGTGGTCAGTGCCTCACTTGGGTCGGTTGTGTATGTGTCAGTGCTGAGATTTGGTATTTTCATTGACAGACTTTCGCGCGATATTGACAACATTGTTTTTCACATAGTCACTGACAGACTTGATCCTCAAAAAAACCTTCGTCAAAATCTCATTCATTTTTTCGTCAATGACAAAGATTCACCTGGTAACAAAAAGTGTAATTTCGTGCATTCTGTGTCACATTATTGTTATCCAAGCAGCTCAGGACGTAGATGCTTGCTCACTTTTAGGACTCCATCTAATTGTGTTGCTCAAGTCATTTAATTTCGTTACAAATTTAGTTAATAAACAAATCTACACATGTTCGTCACTGACAGCATTGTCATTGACAATTGACATGGTTTGCCTTGACGATGATTGTTAGCTCAAATAAGTGACCATAGCAGAATTGTCAATATCACCGGATATTGTCGAGATTTTGCAGCTCTGGTATGTGTGATGAGTTAAGCTTATGTTCATGTTTGGACGTAATTCGTTTTGGGGAAAATGGTGAATACTATGATCTCGATCGAACATACAGGCTTGGTACTTGCCCGAAGAAAAAATAATGGCGTTCGCTTTGATCTATTTCGGCTGCATTTGGCTGATTAGCGCTGGCACTGTGACTCCCGGACGGTTATACGTGTTTGATTGTGGTGGTTTTCTTGCTTTCAGGGAAGTTTTCGAATCGAGAAGAAAACGTGATTCATCGTGTTTGCAAGCATCATCATTCTGCTGTGAATATTGTGGTTTGCTTCCAATACAGTAACGCAAGCGAAAGAGTGGTGAATGGTCTCAATGCTTCGGTGTGAAAAGAAAACGCGTGCTGGAGAGTACTGGCAAGGATGATGCATGGAAAATCTTCGAAAACATAGAAAAACAGACTTATCCTAGCAGATAATTTTGGTGAGATCTTTCTTGTTGAATTCATTTAATTTTGTTTACATTTTCACATAATATTTAATTTATATTGCCGAATAGAGATTCCTAACACAAATGTTCCCTTTCTTGGCATCTATGAAGGTAGTGCGAAACCGAACTTTTTGTCAGTGCGAACCTCAACCTGAGCTAGGTTTTAAAAACAAACGAGCAAACTGACGTTTGTCAGAAAACAAGCAGACCCAACCTTGATTATAATCCAGGTTCCAGGTTGGAACTGAATAATAAAAGAATACCCCCTGCGATTGTAAGGGTGTGGCCAGGTGTATAATGCGATGCTTGATTTGCAGATTTTGATGTGTGGGAAAAACCACTAGTCCCAAGTGTTTTTTCACGGCAAAACACGATATTTTCTGCAAAAAGTATTGGTTGAACATTATATAGCCCCCCTCCCCCACGATTTGTGCAATCGCTTATGCTATGCTCTACGGAAATGATCGATTTTTGCGGAAATACGGCTCGGTAGATAAAATCAGATTGTTTGTAATTTTCAACGGAACTTTACGGGGTTTTCAGATATTAGGCGAATGAACGCCTTCCAATGGGTGCCTACCAAAGTCCCACCTTTTGCTCATCACTTTCAAAACTTATGACACCTACCGTGTCAATGGTTGTAAAGCGAAGGAGTGGCGCATGGTCGTGGTGGTTCAGCTAATTGTGAAGGAAAAAACATTTTAAAACGCAATAGAGTTGGGTCGACATCACTTAAAGATTTGGAATTTTTATTGCGTAATGCCGATAATGATGGTCGAGCCTTTCGAGGAGATTATTCTTCGTTTTTTTCTATGTACAATATTACGTATTTCATTTCGAATAGGTTTATGCCGCCGATAAAGAACAATTGTTGTTGGTACTGGTTTGTTGTAATGTAAAGGGGCTCGGCTGCATTGTCTAACCGTTTTTTGCTTACGAAGCAGCAGGCTGTGGGTTCTATCTATTCCCAGTACTGAGGTTTTATCCCTTTACATTACTGAGTTAATAGGATCGCGTCAATATCGGAAATCAGTACATTCAATCTAATCTACGATCGTATCACTTATTAAGGTGAATCCTGATCCAATGAACTCAACCTACTAAGAAAATGTGCTTTCCTGTAACCTTTGTGGGCAAGCAGAGGTTAACACGGTCCTCAATACAACAAAGCTCATTCTAATATTCCTTTCCTACTCCCACCTGATTGCAAGGACGTGGCTGGCGTCATTATTGTCCTTTAAAAAATAAGGTCCCTGAAAGTTGTACAATGAGTATGAAAGGTCACTCCCAACCCCATTCAGCTGATACATTGTGCAATTTAACTGATTCTGACCAATCAAGAAGTAGCAACCATTGATATATGCAGTCAGTCTAAGCTAAGCTAAGCTAAACGAAATGACAGACGGAGTGGCTCGAAAACTTTGGTGACGAACCTGATGTTGCATTTTTTCAGTATACCACATGGCAACACTACCACTTAATTGTACACTCATAAAATTCGATACATTTTATTGGGGAATTTCCATGTAAAATTCCACATGATTTTCACATAAACATAAACAGAGTCCACAGAAGTACACATGAAATTTATGAGTCAAATGAATAGTATGTGTGGTTACACATGAATTTTACATATACACATAAGAAATATGTGTCCGACACAAATATATCATTTGTTTATCACATTGCAAAAATTCATGTGTGGGACACATACATATAATCATTGAATTTTTATTAGTGTACTAGCATTTTCTTCAAATGTACTAGATGAAATCAGAATGATCCACTCTAGTCAAAATCAAATGGCATAACATTCGTTGATGAAGTTAGATACTCTTCGTACAATGTCAAAGATCTTGCACACAAACCAACTATGATCAAATCAAAACAAAAATACTAGCGCATCTGTCGGCTGATGGCACAAGCATCTAAGAAAATTCTATTACAGAAAACCACATTATTTTAATTTATTTCTTCACAGTAAGTCATGCGTTTGTGCTTTAAGCGACTAATCAGCTCAAATTTTACGTAGACAGCACTGAGCTACGCTACACTGCGCCAAGGAGATTTGAGACATCTTTGTGAGACACCCATATTTTTTTTTTCATTCTGCTTGCTTTCTTTAGAAATGGAGGCAATATGAAAAACCTAAATTTATCCACTTATGGTTGGTACCCGGAACATGCCCAATGTGGTCAACACCGCTCGGTTTGGCTATAATTTGTTTTCAGAATTCTGGGTTTTGGTACTAGCCAGAGACTTGGTACAGTGCTGTTAGATATAGTAGCAGCACGTGCCGATTTTCATGTCAAAATTGACCATTTTGTGTGAAAATCGGAATGCGCTGCTATTATGCGGGAGTACCCTGTACATGATGGGTTTTGGTTTTAGTCAGGAACTGGCCACATCTCCGACGATGATGGGGTTTGCTCAAGTCACTGACCCGGGGGTACCTGGAGCATGTCCTTAACCGCATGACCACCAATGAACTTGTCGTTGGATTCTCAATTGATTTGAGGTGTCTGATGGGCTTGGCACGTATTAGGTAACTAGTTAACTGATTTCAAACATATGCAATAGCGTTCAAAGGGGCCATAGTACTTTTCATTGTATGATTGTTGCGTCCAATTTCGTTTAATGGATACTGAGAAACATGAGTCACAATATTATCTCTAAATCACATTAAGAAACGATTGCTTGTTTAATATGGTTTTATCGAACAGCCGTACAGAAGGCGATAAAACAATAATAAAACTTTTGTTGCGGTCAAAAAGTAAAAAAAAATAAGGCGACGAACTATTGGTTGGCAAACGATGTGAAATATTTTATAAACTATAGATTGAATTATGACCAACCGGCTTTTGTTAAATACTCAATAGAACGAAATGGAATAATTGTTGCTCTAATAAAACATTAATAAAACTCAAATAAAGGTCTAAGGCATTTATAATGTTTCTTGGGATGCAATCTACCTACAGTTAAGTGATGGATCCATTTTTCTAACGTCTTGTTTTTTTTTGGCTTTAAGCCCACTGGGACATTAAGCCGGTTCTCAACTCAAAAATTAAAAAGTGATATTTAAGCACTTCCACCGTTGTTAAATCAGAGCTTTATTTTATGCCTGTACCATTTTTGCATTAGTACATATTTGTAAGCACAATCATATCATCTATGCCCAGGGAAATCGAATAAAATTCCAACTCGAAAAATTCCTAGACCGGACGGGGAATCGAACCCAACCATCTGGTTTTGATTTATAGCTGCACCTTTGCCGACTGAACGAAGGGAGTAAATCGGAATTAATCATACATGAACACTTGAAAAAGGTCACGTGAGGGCTTGAACCGCACTACCACATAACACGAAAAGATACTCTACTTGGTCTGCTGCATCTGTTTGCAGTAGTGGGAATGTATTGATGCCTCGCTCTCGGCGATTCTCTGCTCGCGCAGCCAGTTTTCCACTCAGTTTGCTTTGTGGGATAGGCGTAAGCACTTAACAGAAACGGTAACTCGTTAGTATCGGTCCGGTCCGTGGGAATCACTGGTGACAGAAAATAAAATAAAGAAACAAACATACGTGAGCAACTGAAAACGAACGACGAACTGGGATAGGCCCCAAAAGTCAATGCGCGTCCGTATACGTTGAAATTGTCGTGCAATATAGCTGCATAATTTGGTCTTTGCTATGTCTATTTTTTGAATAAGCCTTCACATTCGAAAAGACAGAAATAGAAGGAATTTTTAAGATGTTCTGTAACTACGTGAAAATGTGATTTAAAAATAAAACGAATGTGAAACGACCAGAAGTGGAGAAGCGGATATATCATCTCGGAAACGTAAGTATACCATTCCAAGAAAAATGAACCGTTTATGATGTACTTTCACCTAGTTTCCTTTTGTGTGAGTATGTCCGTTATCAATAGAAACACAATCGATATAATTAAGCTTTAAATGGAAATTCAATAGCAAGAACAGGTATGGTAACACAGAAGACCGTGTGTATCGTAAATTTATTTGTCATCTACGCAAAAGTGAATCACTATGTTGTACCTTGTTCAGACTACATAAATATAATATAATAATTATCCACAAGAAAAATGTCATCAATATAGGCTTATAACATGTTATAACTGTTCGGTCTGGCCAGTGTATTGAACGAGATGAATGCGCTGGCCAGACTGAGCAGTTACAACAAGTTATAAGCCTATCTTGATAACATTTTTCTTGTCGATAATTATTATAATATGCTAAAACTATGTAGTCTGAACGTGGTATAAAAGATGAAAAATTCATAGAATCAACATCGCACTCTCGGCTCGACAGCTAATCATTCACTGTATACAAAGTTGAAGAATACAGCGAAGCATAAAATTAGTAATATACGTACGTATACTATGGCGCTGCCCGTGGAGGGAAGCGAAATGAATGAAAAAAATAAACAACACTAGAGAAGACGCATAATTGAAATTTATAAATTTGTCACCGGAAATCGCTGGCTGTCGTCTGTAGACCGTATGGGACGGAATATCTTATGTACAGACAAATAAAAATAACAGCACATAGGTAGGTATGTCGATGTCCAAACTCGGTTACGGAATATTTATATTATTTTAATTATGAAAATAATAAGTAAAAGTTATGAATTGGGGTGTTAGTGGAATACTCATAAGAGCTAGAAGAGCAACATTTATATTCATAATAGATACACGGATTTTGTCTATGTGATTTAAAGACGTTACCAATGTCGAACTCGCTAAAGAAAGTATCTAAATTTCACCCTGTCGAATACTCACCCCCAAACATAAACATGAAAAATCATCAAACTATTAACCAACTCATTTTTAAAGACCCTTTATAAATTATTGGCAGGAAAACATCTAAAACTTTGCACGGAGATGAATATTTCAACATTTATTCAAAACTTGGCTAGCGCTGAAATTTGCTTTCGATGTTTGATTTTCTGTAACGTTACGATTTTGTTTTAGCTATGCATGTTCGGTAACGCAAAGTGCCATAATTCTGCGTAGCGACAAATTCCGCGCATTCCGCCAGAATGTTGCAGTATATTACAATATTACTATTCAATTCAAATTATATACAATTTATAATTAGTTTAGGAATTGGGCCTTAGGTGCGAGGTTTTTATATAAACCTATCATTTGAACTCTCTTAAAGCAGTTTTTACAGATAAATCTTGTTTAATAGAGCGAATAGTGTTTCAATATAATTAAATAGCTCTTTGAAATATATTTTCAAGGTTCCGGGCAACGAACTTTTATAATCCTCGATTTTTCGGACTTTTAATGTTTTCAGCGTATGGAAATACTAATTCGTCAAGACATATCTAACGGGTGTTCAATAAAAAATGAGATTTTTTTCAGTCATATAACTAGTGAAAAAAAAAAATTTTCAACGAATTCAGTATTTTTTATTAGATATTGATTCTTCAAAAAAAAAAAAACGTCAATAAATATTGAAGAAGGGTCCCTGGTCAGCCGTACGACGCAACTTAGTCGCGATGCTCTCACAAAAGCGCCCATTATTCATTACTTATAGATTTATCTATGTCCATTTTTTAAAATCCAATCATATATTTTTAAAAGCAGAGCATAAATCCAAGTGAACTCTAAATTCATTGTCAGGCGAATTTAAGTCCTTACTAACATATCAATCAGGCTAAGGCGTTGATGACCTCTGCTGTTCGAAGTGGCGCCGGTGGTGTCATGTTAAGCGTGACTACCTCTCCCTCTAAAGGGCCTGGGTTCAATCCCAGTCGGCGCCGCCGTGATTTTCTCAGACATAAAATCTATGTTCACACCTTCCTTCGGAATGGAAGTAAAACCGTTGGTCCCCGGTACATGAGTTGATGGGTCGATAGGTAGGGTCCAGGTTGTAGGCTCTGCCTCCCTGGCGCCCCTGGTAGCATTGGTACTCAGTACGGAAAACAAGATCGACGGAAAACAAATCAAGAAAAAAAAAAAGGATCCGTAGGTCACCTTTTACTCGGTCGATGTACCTTGCCGCTGTGCGCATCTTCATCTTGTTCCTGTTGTCCCGCTTTCGAGAACCATATTCACTGGGTCGACAACCAGCGTTCTTACGACGCGCCCAGCAGCACACCGTAGATGCCCAAATTTTGCAGTGTGGACGATGGATGGTTCTCCAAGCAGCGTGGTTCATTCGCCTTCTCCGCGTTCCGTCATCCATCTGCACTCCACTGTAGATGGTACACAACACCTTCCGTTCGGAAACACCACTAGTATATTGTTTATTGTTGTTTATTGTTTATTGAAAAATTCAACTGACAATTACTGTCTAAATGAATAAAACTTAAACTAAATAGTTACGGTCAACGGTACGGAAAAGGCCAAGTAGCTGATGACGAAACACATCAGCTGATACATTGAAGTCGAACATATAAAAAAAGTGGTTGAATTGCCGGCTGATTTCTCGAATTTTTCTCGTGTTGTGTATGATTCCGGCTCCGTGGTTCCAAAAACAGAAAGTCGCGTTGACGAAGAGACCTCTCAGGGGCATACATATTTAGCTGTGACAGCAGTGTTGGGCAGTCAATGTCACCTGTAAGCAGCTTTCCAGCGAACATAGCTTGAGCGACCGTCCGTCTCACCTCTAATGGCTCGATTCCCAGGAGACGGCAACGCTCCTCGTACGGTGGCAAGTTCGTTGGGTCACGCCAGTTGAGGAAACGAAGAGCATATCTCACAAACTTGCGTTGAACGGATTCAATTCTAGTGATCCAGCTAGCATGGAAAGGGCACCAAACAACTGGACTTGACTCCAATAAGGATCGCACAAGCGAGCAGTAAAGTGACCTGAGACATAGCGGGTTACGAATCTCGTCGGCAATTTTGAAAATAAAGCCCAATTGTCGATTAGCTCTGGAGATGATGTCATTGTAGTGGATTCTGAAAGTGAGTCTGCAGTCCAAGGTAACGCCGAGATCCTTTATGTGCTCTACACGAGCAAGACAGCGTCCGTAGAGAACATATTCAAACATGATTGGTTCGATTTTTCGGTGATAGGAAATAATGTTACATTTTTCTATGCTTAGACTCATCAAATTTCTTGAGCACCAGTCAGCAAAAATACCTAACATATTCTGGAGATCCCAGCAGTCCGAGAGACTTTTAATAATTTTGTAGATTTTTGTATCGTCTGCATAGAAAACGCGGCATCCTGATGGTAGGTATCAGCAAGGCGACATTGTTTAAAAAGATCGAAAATAGTAGCGGTCCTAGGTTACTTGCGGGACTCCCGAGTTGTTTGATAAAACATCCGATTCCGACGCGGCAATCTTGACATGTACATAGCGATTCACCAAGTAAGATCTGAACCAATCCACAGCAGTTGACGAGATGCCAAGTATCTCCAGCTTGGCCAGCAAGATATTATGGTCCACCGTGTCAAATGCAGCTTTAAGATCCATATACGCAGTATCGACTTGCCATCCTGAATCCATGCATCGCAGACAGTTAGAAGTGAACTGCACCAGGTTCGTGGACACGGAGCACTTCGGGTAGAAACCGTGTTGTTCTGTATCGATATAATTTTTGCAGCGTGCGAACAGAGCACCATTTATGATAATCTCGAACAGTTTTGAACAGGCACACAGTGAGGTGATTCCACGATAATTTATGACATTCCGTTTATCTCCTTTTTTGTGCACTGGGAACAGATAAGAAAGTTTCCAGCGGCAGGGGAACTCACATTGCTGTGCCGAGAGATTGAATAGCCTCGCAAGTGAAAGGCAGAGATTGGCTACACAACGTTTTAGAACTGATGACGGAATGCCGTCAGGTCCGGAGGCGAACGAGAGCTTCAGTTTGCGTGTTGCGGCTATCACCATGTCTTCTGAAATGCGCAGAATAACGAAACTAAACACATCACGTGGTATCCCAACAGTAGCGTCCAGCACTTGCGTTGGCGAAGCGGAGAAATCGTTGAACACTTGCTTGAAATGACGAGCAAACAAGTCGCATTTTAGTTCAGGCATCGTGGCTGTAGAGGAACACCGGTCTAATCAGCGTCTTGTAGATAGTCAAGTTCGTGTGACGGTGAATTTTATTCGACTGGAGCGTCCTCCGGAGCCCAAAGTAGGCACGATTCCCTGTCATAATGCGTCTTTGAATTTCTCTGCTGGTATCATTTTCGGTGGCCACCAGTGAACCCAAACACACGAGCTCGTCGATCACCTCGATTTTGTCACCGTCAATCTGAACTCGGGGTGAGAGGCTAATATTGTCTTCCCTAGAACCTCTTCCTCTTCAGCCTTCAGTATGATGTACATTTCCGCCATCGTCTCAAAGTTCCGTGCCATGACGTCGATGTCATCGGCGAAGCCAACAAAGTGGATGGACTTCCTGAAGATCGTGCCAGTCGTGTCTATCCCAGCTCTTCTTATCACACCATCTACTTCTTCTTCTTCCTCGCATTTCAAGCTTATTGCGTATGGCATATTAGCTTATTGCGTGCTCTCAACTTAGTGTTCTAGATGCACTTCCACAGTTATTAATTGAGAGCTTTCGATGCCTGTACCATTTTTGCATATAATTGTGTGGCAAGTCCAATCATACTTCTATGCCTAGGGAAGTCGAGAAATTTTCCAACCCGAAAAATTCCTAGACCGGACCGGGAATTGAACCCAGCCACCTCCAGCATGGTCTTGCTTTGTAGCTGCGCCTTTACCGACTGAGCTAAGGGAGGCCCCACACCATCTAACGCGATATTAAATAGCAGACAGGAAAGTCCAGTGTCCCCGATATTCGAACAAGGCACATCACTCGAACCATCGTCGCCTTGACCAATCGCGTCAGTT